GTGCAGTAAATAGCTAAGAAGGACTTGGATCGTTAGGCGTACAAGCTCCAAAAAGTGCAGCTCCTCACGGACGAGAAAACAAGGGCGTGCAAATCCAAAGATGTCGAGCTCTTAAGCATCGGGCCGCAAGTCAACGATGCGTACACACTATCTTTACCGGCGAGTAGCTGTTCACTGTGGAACAGGCGCACAACCATTAAAACGACAGGATCTAGTCCAGAGGGACTTCTGGTGCCTCAGCCATTGTCGAACGCCGTCAAAATCCGTAGTTGGGTTTTGTCTGGAGCGGAATTTAAGCCAGCGGCAAAACTCCATGGTTTTCGTGGATCATGGAGTCAAGATCAACCAAGAGGTGAACCGCCGCGACATTCTCAAATCCCTGGTACTTCCGTGGACCCACAAAGCTAGAATGACGCAGAACTGGTGCAGAACACTTTTTTCCAGACTTCATCTCCTCTACGGAATAGCCACCATACGCGCCGGATGTTGACGCAATGGACTACAGTGTGTTGTCTAGTTTTGAGGACAGAGCACGTGCTAAGCACGGAGGTACTGAAGGAATCGCTGTCCGCAGAAAACCTGCGTCGCTTCGTCGAAAATTTTAAATCACGTTTGGAGTTCCAAGAAGGCCCACTTTGAAACCGGCTAAATATGTTTTTATTAAATATCCATTTTACTGTTATTTGTTTTTTTTTTTGATGGACTGTTTGCGTTAAAAAAAAACTTAAGATAAAAAAGAACACGTTATTTATTATCACCCTGTATTCATGGTAATTTATAAGATGCTCTTAACTAACTATATACATTATCACGTTTTGCATTGAGAAAATATTAAAGTACAATAATTTTAAATAAATAATTTTTCATTGTTGGAAAGCTATTTCTTTGAAAAATTAACCCATTCAACTCCAATGTTTTTAAAAAATAATCGGAATTGGAAAAATAAGTATCTAAAATTTGATCGGAAGTGAAAAACGACGGAAGTCTATAAACACAGATAGTCCACTTCAGCGTGCTCGCCTGGACATACCCCTCTCTAATGCACTCCGTAATGGAGTTGCTCCAGGCTGCTTTGGTGTTCGCTCACATAAACAAACAACAGTGTTTTCTTGTATAGAAATACAATAATCTTTATTTATTTGTTATTTCATTTTAGTTTTGGTTTTCTTCTTTTTGTTTTCTTCTTTTATTGTTTTGTTTTTGTTGTTAATGTTTTTGTAGATGTCAAATTGCAAACTGGAACCGAACACTTTTTAAACTGCATACGAATTTTTCGAACAATTTTACTTCAATCATTTAATGCATTTGTTTCGTGAATAAAATTGTATCACTCTAATTTCATTTTAACATTTCAATTAATGCCGAAGTTCAGCAATTGTTATTTTTATTTTTATTCAACTCAACGATCCAACTCTTTTTTTTTTTTTGGTTTTAATAGTTATGTATTTTGTTGTTTTGTTTTTTTTGTATAATATATATAATATTTGAATGTACATATTAGGGTGCATCACTCTCCATAAAACGAAAAAAATCGGTATTGTTTTTCCATCGTAATTATAAAATTTATTATATTTTAAGACTTCCGTACAAAATATTTTGAAAAAATATTAAGATTTACATGCGCTGGGCCCATTCGGAAATTCCTTAAAAAAAATTCCTTTGTAAAAAAATTTTTCATTTTAAATTTAAAATCGATCCAGCTCATGCAAATCTTTAAAAAAATTTTACGAAATTTGTTGGCGGTAGTCTTCAAATATAAAAAATTTGATAATTCCGGTTGAAAACCCGCACGTTTTTTTTTTTTGGTAAGGCACCCTATATATGTATGTATGTATATTAGTTTGATTATGTATTCACGATTTTTAGATTTTTGATACATGTAATAGAAAATACTGCTGATTTTTATAAATTTATAATTTTTTATTTTTATTTTTTATTATTTTTTTTTGTATTTTTTGTCTTCCTTTTATTTTTAGTACTTGTAGTTCTTTATTACCCTTTATGAAACTGCATAAATGCAAACGGCCATGTAATGCATGCAAATACAATACAGTACTGTAGTTATATGTAGATACAGATTTTGCTTTTATTGCTTCTATATAAAATTAAGAGGTTTATCTTTGCGTATTTTTAAGAATAGAAAATTTACGTTTTAGTCGATTAGTATTAGAAATAGACTTTTGGCTATCAGCTGGCAGAGATTTTTTTTTTAATTTTTTCCCGTTTTTTTTTTTTTATTTTTTTTTTTGTCGCCAAGAAACCAAGATACGCGTACGTGTATGTATGTAAGTATATAGGTTTATACGTATGTAAGTGCATCGCTTAAGAATTACTTATTAGAATTTAGATTTGAACGCAAATTGGCAAATGTCGAAAATAAGTTTAAAGAATTTTAAATTCAAAAAATGGAAAAATTGCAATCAAATGTATATTATTTACATATTTATGTAAGTATGCAGAATCCATTTGATCCTCATAGTTCGTTAGAATAAATATCTCGCTTAAGTATGCTTACGAATGCGGCTACGTTAGGGATTTATACTTGTATATGTATGTAAGTTTAATTTTTGCTTAATGATACATATATGTAAGTACATTTTAAAATGCATATGCAAAGCATGCAGAGATAGTTGTACGTACTTATGTAATTATAAGCTAACAAACTTTTCAAAAGAGCTTGAGACCTAACATATCTCGCCTAATCAAAAGTTGCGAGCCATTAACGTTTTAAATCCTACACTAAAAACGCTTAAAACGCGCTCAAGAGATCAATTATTTGTTTGTTAGTGTGAGTTTTGTTTTTACATATTTTACTGTTTTGTGGACTGGTATGCAGGGATTGTTTAAAGTTTCAAGATTACGTACGATTTTTTCCATATTTTTGCTTTATATTATTTAGAATTAAGCTACTTTTATGGCGTAAAACTTAGTCATTTCGTTTGAGAACTTCTAAAAGTTAATAGAAATTCGAAAGTTTCGTCGTTTTTTAAATAAAATACCATAGTAAACGGGCTACATACGAGGATAAGCATTAAAAGCTGATTGATTAAAAATAGCATAAAATACTTAGGTTTTATTAAAATGATTTGTGTTTCGTTTTCGAGCTACAGACACTCAGCCTTTTTAAATACCGCAGATGCTTCCTAGAAATACTCTTGATATGACCTCGAATTATAGAACTTCCTAAGGATTTTCCGTAAGAAAACAGATGTTTACCGTGCAAACAATACGACAATACCCCTAATGAGTAATAAACACAGGGTGTTTCAGAGCGCTCAGAGACTTCAAAAATGCAAAACATTATTACATATCGTTACCTGAAATAAAAGTTAAGTAACTAACATCTTTACAATCCCCTACTTCGTTTTATACAAAAAATTTAAGTAACTGCTGTCAAATTGAGAAATTCCAGAAAGCAGTTGCATGAGGAGTCATACCTAGCAAGTGTCCTTCGATAAATTTCTGGCAATCTTTCTCGATAAGTAAATGCAACCGCGAGTCGCATTACCGGTTATTTGTTATATCTCTTGGTTATTTCCAATTTAAATATTAATTTAATATTAATAACTTAGCAATTTAAATACGAAAAATAATTAGTTACAAACATTTTTGATATTATATTCAAAATGATTCTTGATTAGTCATACGGTAACACTCGAATGGTTTGACAGCACTTTCAACAAATTATATATATTTTCGAAATTAAGTTGCGCTCTTTCAGTTGCAGTCAGACGTTTCAACTTTTATTTTTATAATTGAAAAAGGTCTCTTTCTCAATTTGACGGCGAATCGCATGGAAAAGTATATAAGAGGGTCACGTCTGAAACACTCATAAAATTCAAAACGTCGTTTAATTACAGAACCGCGTATCAACAAAAACTCTCATATTTCAAAATGGGCCTCGTTTTTATAAAGCAATCGCATTTTTGGCTAGTATATTTCAGGACGAATGGATAAGGCTTGAGCCAAGAGCTTGTATGAGTAAATCCAAATTTTGCAAAAAATTTCAGTTACGCAGTTTAGTACTTTAAACGACGAAATGTACCGTTGGATCAGAGAAGTCAAACATCATCAAAGTTCATCATATTATTAATTAAGTTAAGTGCATTAAAGAAACCAGAGCTCTACGAAAACATTCTTCATCTTTTGATCTTCAGCATTGACAGCTCTCCATTTGTTTTGTTTTGTTTTGATATTAATTTATTATTTTTTTTTTTTAATGTAGCATATTCTATAGCAAAAATCCTACAAATCGGATTTGCAAACTTCATAAAAAGTTGGCAGAACATACCAATATTTGGTGACCAAAAAAAAAAAAACCAACAAAAGTTGACCTCCTTAGCAATCAGATATGAGCTATGTTTTTAGCAATATTTTGTCGTATGTTTTGAGGAGCCTGTGCGTCATTTTTACTCGAATAAATACTTCCTGTAATCTTTCTTCTTCTCTCTTTGTGATTATTAAGTCTTTTACTAGATGCATCGTAGGCCGTTTCGTGAAATTTAAGAAAATGTTGTCACCGAGTTCGAATTGCTACGAACTAAGGCGAATTCATATAAGGTGGCGTTGCTAGAACAGCTACTTTAATTCGCCTCGGTACACAGATGTCAAAACTTTTTATGAGTAAAAGATTAAACATACGGCAGCGTTGATCCGGATTAACTCGGACTTAATCGGGGTCAACTGCAGTTAATTCACGAATTGATCCGGATCAACGCTGCCGTCTGTTTATGCTTTTAGTGCGAAAGTGAGTGTTGTGAGTGAGCGAAGAATAGCTCAAATTTGGGATGTAAGTTTTTTGTTTTTGTACTAGCGCTACCACCTTATATGAATTCGCCTTGCTACAAACGGCTGCATTCGAAGTAAATATTGAGTTCGTAATAGTTCGGATTCAATAAGGCATTTTCGAAGATTTTTTTGGAAAAAATCTAACTACGACGGTTGCAACAATAGTGCTCCCTTTACATGATTCAATAATAATAATTATTGAATCATGCTCCCTTTATACTTGTTGAAATCGCTTTCAATCTGAATTGTGTTCAAAAGTTTACTGTTTTTATGTAGCTTCTCGCTCTTGCGTTACCTACTCTTATAAAAGCCAAAATGTAAATGCAAAAGTAATAATATTCTTCATAAAAATTCCATTAAGCTATTGATTGTTGCGCATAAAAAGTCTGCATAAAAATTTATTTTGCAAATAGGGAACTTTTCACTTTTGTATTTCTGTTTGGTAAATATGTGATGTAAATTCGCATATTTGTGAATTATTGTTTCTGTTTTTGCGTGTGAAACCGCGCAATGAAGATGTGAAATTGAGAAAAACAAAAGGCATTACGAGAAAATATTTCACGCAAATATGATATATGTATGTAAGTACATATGTATGAATGTGTGTGTTTTGAGTGGTGCAGAAAATAATTACTCTCGATAAGGCACTCCCTATGTTAAGAATTATCTGCGCTGTAAATATTTTGTCAATAAAACTTTGGGCATCAATTCCCACAACAGACATTATACCGACCGATCGACCGGCTAACGCGCACATCGATAACGCCAATTGCAAACTTTTTATTATTTCTTCATTAAAAATATTTCAATTCTTCATAAACTTGTTGCGATTTCGAACTTCTAACAGCAATTATACAAACGTGTATTCGTAAATCTGAAAAGCAACGGCTTAGTTGCTCTCCCAGCATTTGCGAAGCCACAAATTGCTCTGCTTACAACAATAAAATTCAGCTTATTCCTAATTCAATTCTGCCATTTTGCTTCAATCAATTCTTGTCTCTTCGTCGGCGCATCTCAGCGCTAATGCTCGTCCAATACATTACCAAAAAGTAAATTGAAAAAATATTTCAGCATTCTTCTTAGTTATGGAGCTGGACTTGGTGGAACATGAGGTATGAACTCGGTGCGAAAAGCGAATTCATCGCTATCGCTGGAAGAACTGTCACTGGTGTAAATCGGATCGCCGGGTCCTCCGCCGACGCCAACGCCAACGCCAACGCCACTGCCTAGGCCGAGACCCATTCCGGCAGTAGCGCTGCTAACGCGCATGCTACCCAAAAATGCATTACGTGACTGCTGCTTGGACGATGATTTGCCTTGTTGACGTTGCTGCTGTTGCCGCCACAATAGCTCGTTCTGCTTCACCGTTGAGGCGTGTATCTTCTCTGGCCATTGGAATTCCAATTGTTGTTTACCGCTACCCAAAGACGTTTGTGCAACGGTCACAGCGTTGCCGGCTGGCATTGCGGGCGCAGCAGCATTCAATAGTGGCAATGGCGGTAGCGGCAGCGATTTGGGTGGCGATGGATGTGCGCGATTGCGCTCCTCTGGCGAAGAGTTGGCGAAATTAGAAGTGGGACTTTTACCTGTCAAACGGCTGACGTCGAATTCGTGGAAGACCGCATTGCGCGCGCTGATACCGGTAAGAGGACTAAAGTTACGCTCTCCGGCGCTGCCCATGACCGTGTTGCTAACACCGCCACCAGTGTACGGTGGCGCTGAAGATGTAGCCGAGGATGAACCTGATCCAGAGCCTCCACAACCGCCACCGCTGGTACTCAAACCTATGCCAAGACTCCCGTTGCCACCACGCATCTTACCGCCATTCAAGTCAAAGCCTTTCATAGCAGCCCCGACTCCGCCGTAATTGTTGCCAGGTCCGCGTCCGCCACCAAAATCGTAAATTCGATCTTCGTAGGCAAATTGCTCTTCCAACTGTCGACTGTAGTGGTGCGACATGCCGCGCGTACCATAATTGTAATGCGGCGCCGATTTAATGCTGACATTCGAGCCGTATAATTTTTTCTGTGACGTCGTAGTCAACTCTGACGCATCGTCCGCGTCATCTTGCCAACCGGGCGTTAGTAGCTTATGTACCGCACCGCTTCCAGCGACGCTACCGCCACTAACCGGCCGGCGGCGGCGATAAAGCGATGAGACGCGCGCGCGTATGTCGCACTCAGAACGCGCAATGCTCGGATTACAATCACTAACCGGGTCATCATCGCTTGATGTGCTTGAGTCTAAAATGATGGGGTTATAGCTAAGGCGACGCAAGGTGCGCGCGCGTATCGAACGCGGCTTATAAGAGGAAGCGCTACGCGTATGCGGTTTGTTCGTTGTTCGGCTGCCTATAGCCAAATGCGTTGAGCGGCGTTTCAAGCGCTGTTGAGGCTCGGACTGCACCGGCGAGATGGGGTTCATGGGATTGTCGGTGAAAGACATGGAGCGCTGGCGGTGGCCGCTTTGGTTACACTGCTCAGCATCGGCAATGCCTAAGCAGCTTGCGCCCTTCAGCGGATTGCTGCAGTAAACAGAGGTGCTGCTGGCGTTGAGCGCGGACGTTTTACTTGGAGAAGCGCAGCTGCCGTATTTTGCGGCACCGAAACGCTCAGCGGCAATCAGTATACTATCATCCTTCTGGACCATGTAGCTACTGCTGCTGGCGCTGGGCGCCATTATTGCCGTCTCTTTGGGACTATAGTAGTTCTCTTGTGGACTGTAGCTAGATTTTTGGCTGCTGCGGCGCGAAAGCGATATGTTGGTGTCACGCGAAGCAAAGCCAGTGTCAGGTGTGCTGGAGCGCTTGTCCTCGGCCGTTTTCTGGTCTTGCATTAAATCACCAAGCACTGCCTGGGCCTGCGCATGGTTTTGTGTATTGATGTACTGCAAATGCTTGTCCAAATGGCTGGTGGCAGCATTGAAATCGAACATAGTCTGCACGCCATTGCTGTAGTTGTAAATGGCAGATTTGAGGCTGCCTGTGGCGCTGCTTATTTCGTCCTCAATAGAGGAAACGATATTGGAAAACTGCTCGTTTAGTAGCGTCTCATCCGAGTCGGTTTTATCCAACTCTGTGTATGTATGCATGAAGTCCAGATTTAGGGCCTTCAAGGTGTTTTCGATATCCATTATGTTCTCACTAATGCTCTTTTGATTACGCGCCGAGCGCTGTGATTGCGCGTCAAGCGCAGCTAGCGGTGGTGTCACAGTTTGCATTACCGATGGCGGTGGATCCAAACTCAGTGGACGACTTAGAATTTCGCGAGATTTTTCAAAGCAAAAATCCGAGCTTTCCTTATCAAAAATCGGTATACGTAAATCGGGACCATTGACATTTTTAATTTCGCTTAAGGAGCGAAATCGCTACTTTCATTAACCATTGAAAATGAATTTTTAAACAAAAATTGTGAAACCAATTATAAATGAGGAACGGACAACCAAACCAATTATAAATGAGGAACGAACAACCAAACCAAAGAAAATTTAAACCACATTAAATTGGGAGAGAAGTAAATATGGAGTTATTAGCAACAAATCACAATGGAAAGCGCAGACATTATGAGAAGGTATTGCTTCGAAGCTCTGGCAGAAAGAGTAGTGTTGTGGATAATGTGCAAATTAACGTACTTCAAACTTCTCATAAATATATTTTTGTAAAGGCGTTAAGTCCACCGAACTCTGTCCATTTTAAAAAGGCACAGTTTTCGTAGCAATCCTACTCTTTTCATTATACTTCTAAACAAGCATTATCCATTTGCTTGTGATTAAAACTGCATTAAAAACTCCTTAACATACCTGCAAATCTGGTATACTTTCCAATTCCTCGGTGAAGTTTTTCTTTTTCGAGTACGGCGAAAGTGACTTTTGCGCAGCAGCATTAGCGCTTGAACTACCACCTGCAGTGGGTGAACCATTACTTCCAGACGCTTTGTCACTTCCACCTCCGCTTGTCAAATGCGGAAAACGGAAACTGAATTTACGTTTAGGACTTTGTGTGTTGGACGTTTGATCGGACACTAAATCGTTCATTGATCTGAAAATAAAAAAAGGGATACATAAAAAAAATCATTCTTACTTTTTGTTTGTGCAACCGATGGCTACTAACCTTGCACTTATTTCATTTGCAATTTCGATTGCTTGATTCAATATGCGTTCATCTTTCACCGATATAGGCTTGACAGTACCTGCTGACTTCTTTTTCGAAGATGTGCCAAATTTGTTACCGTTCGTGTCGCCCGAACTAGCACTTTTGCCTACCAACTTCGAAGAAATTTCTGTGAACTCATTCTTTTTGTTCGTATGCTCGAAATCTGATGGCTTTGGCGGTGCAACACTAACGCTAGCGCTCATTGAACCAAACATAGAGTTTATTTCATCCAAAAGTGAAGGGCCAAAGTCCAACTTATCGGCTGTAATTTCATCATCAGAGATTTCATGATATTCGTGTTGATCCTCAGTACTGCCACCATTCTTTCCGGCTTCACGCCATTGTTGTGCCGCAGCTATGTCCCCTTGGAAGCTATGACTATCCAAGCCATAATTGTTGTTTTGCATGGCAAATGCTCCACCCACCAAAACTTCATCATCACCTTTATGTGTGAAGGGATTGGTGAAGGATTTTGAATGCGGCTGCTGGCCGGGAAATTCAAAAGACGGCTGGCCACCATTACCGGTATTGAAATGCTTGGGTGTGTTTTCAGTGGATGATATAAATGTGGGATTCATTGAGGTGCCATGACCCTCCTCGGGGAAATAACCACTTGCGGTTTGTAATGAATCGGGGCTGGTCGGTGTGGGTGGCAGTAAAAGTGGCGTTTGTTCGATATCCTCCGAGGGTTTGTAAGGTGTTACAATTTGTCGTGGAACATGATTATACTGCCGAAAATAAAAGTGAACGTTAAAAATGAAGCAGAAAATTAAAATAAAATAAAAATCGTTACATTTTGTGAATTGCCAAGAAAAGCGATATCACCAAATGAGTCACCATCTATGCCAACATGCCCAGTATGCTTAAAATCGTTTTGCGGTTTCGAAATCATTTCCGTGCGCAGTTTCCGCTTGCTAATGCGTTCAGTAGTGCGGCAAAACGAGTCTCTACAAAGACGAAACAGATATTTTAATTAGATTTTGATAAATACCACACTATAGCTTTAAATATTCACCTGTTTGCCGTGGGTAAACCCTCTAAGTACGCCACCGTGTTAGAGGGATTGAAGAAACCTGTCTTACCGGACGTAAGTACACCCTTCCAGAAGGGTGTACCCGTGTTTCGATCTAGTACAGTTATAATATCGCCCTGGCGATACAACAGGTGGTCTTTTTTAGGTTCTAAACAATGTACAACCGCTTTTAATTGCTCAGGCTTCATATCGGGCAGTAACTCGTAAATCTCACTGAACTTAGGACGCTTGGCAGGATCGTCTTGCCAGCATTTCATCATTAGTGTATAATATTCTTGAGGGCAGCAATCCGGTTGCTCAAGGCGCTACAAATTTGGTATGGAAGGAAAATGTAAGTATATTTTTTTTTCGGAGGTTGAAAATCACGCTTTGGGCTACTGACCTGATAATTTGGTGCATCTATTGCTTCAAGTATTTGTAGCCCAGTAAGTGCAGCCCATGGTTGAAAACCGTAAGAAAACATTTCCCAAAGACAAACGCCATAAGCCCATACATCAGACGCATTGGTGAAGCGCAAGTAGTTGATGCATTCCGGTGCACACCTGGAATTGGGTAGCAACAGAATTTAAAAGGTATGTTTAACCATTATTTACAAGTCATCAATGCTCCTACCAAGCTATTGGAAGCTTTAGATTAACGTTAAAGTTTGTTTTATAATAATCTTTGCCCACACCCAAAGCTCGTGACAGCCCAAAATCGGAAATTTTGACTTTATCTTTGCTGAAGACTAAAATATTGCGCGCGGCTAGATCTCTGAAATATAGAATCAGGGGAAAATTTTATAAAGGAAACATACAAAACAGCAACTAGTATACGCACCTGTGTATGAGTCGCTTGTTTTCCAGATAACTCATACCATTACAAATTTGCATTGCAAATTCGCAAAGTGTTGGAATGGTAAGAAAGCTGACACGCAAGCCAGGATCTTTTAAACATTCCAGCAGGGAGCGCAAATGGGCCAACTCTGTAACCAACATCAATGAATCCGTAGCCAATACAACTCCATATAAACGCACAATATTTTCATGCTCAATGGAATGCATTATAGCGGCTTCCTTGAGAAATTCCATAGGGTTTGATTGCATGCGCTCGCGGCATAAGCATTTTATAGCCACTTGAATCTGAAAAGTAGGCAAAATCATCATTTTTACTAGTCTAAGATTTTTAAATGCATACACTTACCCTCTCTGTGCCATTGGTCCACACACCTTGTTGCACTATGCCGAATTCACCAGTACCCAATTGCTTATTCACCGTTATAGAATCGGCTGGTATAATGTGCTTATTATTTGGCGCCTTGCTGGGCGAGTTGGCGGTGTGCGCCGCTGAAGGCGACTCCGCTGCGCTGTGTAATGACGCGTTCGAAAGCGTGGAAGTGCCATCGCTGCTGTCCCGCTTGACAATTGTCGCCGGTGCCTGTAGTAGCCGCTTAATTTTGCTCAGATAACCATGTGGAAAGTGCTTTTCATAGAATTTACGCAATCGGCGTATTTCGGGGCGCGATAGTCCAATATGCTTGAGGTCTTCATCAGTTGCATATTTAACGTGGGCAGCATTTGTGATTTTCAGTTCGTTTCTGCAAAGGAAAATATGATAATTTGTTTGTCTATAATTTAAGAATGCGTGGGATATGATTTCTAAACTCACTTTATTGCATTATAATAATGTTGCAGCTCTGCTTCGGTTAGGAATTCATACAAATCAATTTGCGGACATTCTAGAAAGAAATAGGAAATAAATCTATTTTTATATAAAATTTCTTAAACTAGGGCATAGAGTGATATCGAACAATGCTCATTTCCACAAAGCAGCCAGTCGTGTTTCTATATTGAATGCAAGTTTGATTAACCATACAAATGGCAACAACAAAATTTTGTTTTTTTTCTTAGCCAAGGCAGCAGAGCAAAGAAGAAAAGATAGCCTCTTGGTCAAACGCCCGCGTGCATACGTCCCATCTGTCCATGGTGACAAGTAATTTCTTTTTTTCTCTTATTTTATTATCATTTGCTGCATGCCGCATGTGGGTGTGAAGTGGGAGCGCACAACAAAAGTATTGTTACAGTGCAGTCTAGCATATGTTAGGCCGGCTGTCATGGCTACGGTGAATGCTTGACTTCTTGGTGTTGCTGCTGTTGCCAATGCTGCTTGCTACGAAAGTTGCTCTGGCCTAGTTTGACAGCAATGTCATACACACACACATTTTACGGTTTGTTGCTTGCTCTGGGAATGACTTAAAAATAGCCAACGGCACTTATTTCGAAACATTTCATGGAATCGCATTGCGAACAAAAGTGGAAGCAAGCCCTTGCAGACTTGTTTGCTTTCCGTTTGTCCGTCCCGTCTTCAGCCAGTGAACGCGTATACATACATAGATTGCGAACATAATTACTTATCGCACTTGAAACGCGCTGACTCAACCCTCTGCCATCCGGTCTGTGGGTAGGTTGGTTGTAGTTGTTTTTCTCATTCGACATGGACTTTGACGATTGCAACTGGCATTACACTCCACTTCGCAGGCAGTTTACCCTGAACTGTTGTCCGTGAATTTGGCAAAATCGATTTGATTTTTTTTTTGCACGAAATGTGCGGCTGCAGAATATACGCCATAGCTTTTTAACGCTATTGCTGAAGGGGGTTGGCGACGAAAGTGGAGAGGGTTTTAATGTGGGCATCATATTTCAAACGGCTGCTTTGTAATTTGGAATGTACTTTCATTTTTTTTTTTTTTGCTTGGGAAGCATTTTTACTCCGTCATTTTTGCATATATGAAATATTTCCTTTGTTATTCTGCTCCATTTAAGCTCTGCTTACCCATTGTTGCGGCTGCGTCTGAGTTTGTTGTTGCTGTTGCATTTAAGGAAGCTCTGTTTGCTGCTGGTTTCGGCGACGAACACTTCCCTCCTCCGGATCCACAAGCGAAGCTGTTACCAAAAGTGTAGCGCAGCGACGTTCGCTGCCGAGACAGAAAACTCTGCTTCCGTTTTGTCCACTGCTATCGCTACAAACACCAACGCAGTGCAAAAGGTCCCAAACATTCCCTAAGCCTCAGCTTCACCTTGCTTTTGATTTATATGAAGCACAAATTCAATTTGCAATTTAATATACACATTTTCTCAACTAATACACCAGTTGTAAGAAAATTTTATCAATTTTTTCCGGGGCGCACTTGAAACACGAAGCTGAAGCAGACAAATGAATAGAGATGTGCTGAGCTGTCTGTACACAACACTTGGTATCCTATACAAGAAAAAAATTCAGTACCAAATACTTCCTTCTCGGTACCCAAGACGATTCGATGCATTAATAGCGTAGTTAATCAGAAGCGCAAACCCGCTGGCACGTAAAACCATGTTAGATGATGTTGCCAATTCGTAAGCTTGCAGCCTTGCGGCCAACTAGATTTACTCAGACGTACGGGAGCACAAAGCGTGTTGGCCGAGCACGAGCAACTCGGCGCCCTTCCCCCTTCCTCGTCACTCCCTCTCCCCAACAATTATTGATGGTTATCAAAAATATCAATTTTTGGCATTCGCATACGCAGAAAACTTGCAAATTCATAAATATAATTAATAAATAATAATAAATTCATAATAAAATTACACAGAATTCTATAGGTATTATGACATTTTTACACACATATATGTACATATATATGTACCTATATTCGAAGTAATGGCAGTGAGACACTTTGACCAGTTTCACCTATTTTGTTAATTGATTGTTTTTCGAATGATTATATATAAAAGTCTGATTCATAATTCAATAAACACAATATATGTACAAAAATCGTCATTTCAAATTTGGCACAAAAATTGCAAAAATTCGGCAGGTTTTCCCAACAACAAACTTTGAATTCAGAATTTTTATGGAGATTCCAAGTTTTCAATTTCATGCATTTTTTCCATACAAAGTATGTTCGAAAATTTTTTAATGGATGAAAATGTATAAAGCGAAGCGCACATTGGCGCGATTCTGTCGTTGCGAATCCGCAAGCCCAAAAATTACCCATACATTTTAATGCGCTAGCGCACACTTGCACGATTCCGTCGCTGCGAATTTTTCGAACATTCAATGTTCCTCTCTATTAACGCGTTCGAAACGCGGCTTGCAGCGTTTTGAAGGCGTCAAAGAAGAAGAAGAAAGGTGTCACAGCAATAAAGGCAAAGAAAAAAAAACGTGTAATGTACAAAAACTAATAAAAACGTTCGTAATAATAGTATTTTGTACGATTTGGGCACGCCGAGTGCGAAAATACACGAAATAAAGGGAAAATTGAGTGAATTGTACATCGGAAATCGACGCGAAAAAATCGCTCAAGTGTGCGCACGTTTGCGGATTCGAAGTTAACAGCCGAATTCGCAACGTATTCGCAACGATGGAATCGCGCTAATGTGCGCTTCGCTTAAAACCGTCAGAAAAAGAAAATTAAAAATTATCGGGATATTGCAGAAACTTGCACTTTTGTTTAGTGGACTATAAAACTGCAAACTTAAAATCTTTCTAAACCATCTGAATTAAAAGTTGTTGTTGCGAAAGCTTACTTTTCTTACTGCGTATTCACAATAGAATTCAGCGGTTTGTAAATATTTTTCACGGCTCTTATTTTAAATTTGAGTGCTTTTTTAATCTATAATGTGGTATGTGATTCTTCGATATATAGTGGCCTTTTATTTTAAATTTCTGTATCTTATGATTGTGCCAAAACAGGATAAATTGTGCCAAAAGTGCCTGTGTAAATGAAAGTGCCAAAAATTACACTATTGTGCCTACTTTTCCATCACTGTTCTGAACACGCCAGCGCTGAATCAGTTTGGGACAACGAACAGGTTTATGGGTCCAATTGGTATTTGGTGTACCCACATCGACTCGGTTTTCTAAACCGGTGAAAATTCATGATGCAATAATACAAGGTGTATCGGTTGGCAGCTTCTCGCTCTAATTCCGCCATATCCGCCTTAGCAGAAACAGTAGCTTTGTTTCTCAACTGATAATTATCACAAATTATCACTAATTTCTGCTGGAAAGCGTTTCTTAACCCAAAAAACTAGCAGCTCCCTCTCGATCTTACGCTCTTCTTTTTTGGCTCTCCTGCTAATTTCTGCGGGTAAAATTTTTACTAGCAGAAACTAGCAGCTGTCAAAATGGATATTCAAAAATTCGCGCCAAATACTTTCAATAGTCAAATACACCGATCAGCTGATACTTGCTAGTTTCTGCTAGTTTTGCGTTTCTTTACTTTTTCGTTATTTCGCTCTCTGTGAGCGTAATTCTTTCAATTTCCTCATTCTTCTTCTTCCTGATAATTATCTGCTAGAAAAGAAAAGAAACAAAGCCAGTGTTACTTCTTTAACAATACTTTGCCAAATGATATATTTGATTCTTTTTTTACTTTCTCAGTATACACATTTTGTTTTCTCAAAAAGGTATTTTATCTTATCTAATTTCATTTCATTACGAATATACTAAAAAATGCAAACTTTGCTTAGAAGAAAATTTGAACTTTTATTTTTTTCCCCAAAACGGGGTTTAATTTCTTTACTTTTTCTTATTCTACTGAGCTAAGGTAGTGCAAAATCGAGCTGTCGCAACTGTCACCACCTTGTATTGCATCATGCATCATGGTGAAAACTGGCAGCTGTGTTTTTGTATTTTCTTTTCTTACGTTTGACATTTAAAATGTAAATAAACAAATTTCACACGTTTTTAGCCCTCAATAAATATTTAACTGGCGGTGCGCTGTAAAAGCTAGCTTGTCGCCAAAATAGTTAAAAATTCTACACCTGAAAATGTCTAAGGACTACATCTCGCGTAAATTGGAGCGTAAACAACGGCGGTGTGAGGCAATAATCCACGCCGACTGTGGGATTGAGAATAGTGAGCTGCCCACACGCTTTCTTGCTATTTTGAACGCCGGTCTCTCCACGGGACTCACGGAAGAGGCTATGCTTTATGCCACCCTTCAACATGGCTCCGTTCAACAGGTGCTAATGTTGCCTAATAAATCATACTGCTTTCTAGAATGCAGCAATGTGAATGAAGCGGAACAAATCTACAACAATTTACATGGCAAATCCAATTTGGAGCAACGTGGAGGAGTTATATATTTGTCATTCGTTAAAAGCTTGCCTGCATGCACTGAGGAAAATGTGTGGTCTAAGCCATTGCCGGACGGTTTGGTATTATTGCCAGATTTTGTGACTGAATCTGAAGAAGAAATCTTGCTGAAGGCTATTGCGACAGAAGAAACTAAAGAAGAGAGTGATTTGAAACATCGGCGTGTTAAACATTTTGGATATGAATTTATTTATGGCGAAAATAACGTAGACCCAACTAAACCATTAAATGTAAATATCCCTAAAGATTGCGAATTTCTATGGTCGCGTTTGAAATCGGAGGTGGCTATGCTAGGTTTACCAGCTTGGGATTGGGAGGCGCCAGAACAATTGACTGTTAATATTTATCAACCTGGACAAGGTATTCCACCACATGTGGATACACACAGCGCATTTCTTGAGCCAATACTTTCTTTATCGCTATGTAGTGATGTAGTTATGGATTTTCGGCGCGGCATTGATCGGCGCCCGCTCAAATTGTTACGCCGCTCAATGCTGGTGTTGTCTGGTGCATCAAGATACGACTGGACACATGGCATTACTCCGCGCACTTTGGATGTCGTGCCTACTGAAAGCGGTTTAACAGTGACGAAGCGGAGCCAACGCATCTCTCTCACATTCCGACGACTGCGGCGAGGTCCATGCGACTGTGCATTTCCAACGCTGTGTGATACACGCTTGAATGTACGCAACGACACAAAACCAGTCATATCAGACGCAGTAGCTGTACGATTAGAAGAGTTAAACGTACACAGCGTTTATGAGCGTATAGCGCCTCATTTCAGCGAAACCCGCCATACTCCTTGGCCGCGTGTGACCGAGTTTCTTCGAAGCTTTCCAACAGGATCCATACTGCTCGATATTGGCTGTGGTAATGGAAAATATCTACAATGCAATAGCAATGCCTTAACAATTGGTTGCGATCGCAGTGGTGGCTTGCTTACTGCGTGCCTTGAACGGGCTAAAGTCTCCAATAAAAACAATGCCGCTTTCCCAAACGTTTTTCGCTGTGATTGCTTACAGGTGCCCGTACGCACACAATCGATCGATGGTTGCATCAGCATTGCAGTGATACACCATTTGGCTTCCGCAGAACGCCGTTTAGCCGCTGTGTTAGAAATGACGCGAGTCCTGCGTCCAGGTGGACGTGCACTCATATATGTTTGGGCTAAAGATCAACGTGCCAATAATAATAAATCTGCATATCTATTGCAGAATAAAGCGGTGAACAAAAACAAAGTCACTGTGGAGCAACAGCGACAGCGTGCGACAGCGGAGTTGCAGCGGCAACAACTGGAACAAAAGTTGGAAGAGTTGGTGCCTGGTGCACCACAACTGCCCGTACACACAAATCGCACCGATTTTATGCAACAAGATGTGCTCGTACCTTGGAAGTTAAAAACTGGACAAGATGCCGGAAAGAGAAATGCAGATGATCAGCAAAGAACTACGCAAGCAAGTACCTACCTGCGTTACTACCATGTCTTTGAGGCAGGCGAGCTGGAGGCAATGTTAGCGCAAGTGCCAGAGGTCGAACTACTCCAAAGCTACTATGATCAAGGCAACCATTGTGCGATTTTCGCGAAGCGGTGAAAGCGAATGCAAACAATTAAATATATGTATTTTATTTTTTTTAGTTAAAATTTAATTCCCATTTATTATATGATATTTGTTATCTACTATCCCCTTGGAGGGGCGCTGAATTATATGTACATAAATATTACTATTCCATAAGCAAAAATAATTATAATTATTCAATAAACATCTAGATATTTGGGAAATAGTTGTATTTGCAATTGACATTTGATTAATTACTTAAAATCGTTTTTCGATACTTGTGACATTTGTGTAATCGTTACTTCTAAACTTTTGCCAAAAGTCTCGTAAGTATTCTTTTCTAAAATTAACTATCAACTATATATTAGATCTTAAAGCTGTAGCTACTTCCCTTAATTGTTAAATAATATATTCTTTGCAATCAATTCAAAGTAAAATAGATATGTATGTACACATTTTCACGTATACATATGTATGCATTTATAAAAATACTAGTTTCGTTTTATGTTTTGGCTCGGATGAACTTAGTCAACTTTTCAACTAATATGAAGGGGTAAATTGGTATTATTTATGGTATTTTTTCATTAAGACACTAATTTCCTTGAAACCCCAATACAATGTATCTGTACAACGGCGTCATCATTACCATGGGTAATGAGTGACTCTTCCTCGTTCCCATGACAAAGGGTCTAAGCAACTGGTACGACCTAGATTTACAAATGTACTTATATGTCCAAGTTCAGGTTTCAGTAAATGGTTGCAAAAATTAAATGATCATAAATAGTAAATAAATAATTTGATTTTACTTTTAGCGTTACAAGAATTATTTCAAATAACACTGGATCACAAATTATAATTTTGTTTTTGTTCTCCAGACGCCACTATCCAATTTGTATGTAGAATCGCTCGCTGATTCCAAAAATCGGAGTTAACTTTTTTCTTTATGGATGCGTTTTCGAGATCTTTGCAATTTACCGTAATTCAGCTAAAAAAAAAGGAGTGGTTCCTCTTAATCACGTATATCTTACGAACCAACTGTGAATAACTCAGTGAGAGGGGAGACCAGTATGTTTGCATGTATGTATATAAACAAAAATATTTATTGGTTCAAAAATGGTGGGTAGGCACTGTGGCCAATGGCAAAGTTCGTTTGCCACCTCTGCATGGTTGTAAGTCATGCAGAGTCCGCAAAATGCTCCGGAAGCAGTGTCCGGAGGATGCATCAGACTAGGCCGAGCATACTTTGAAGTGCCATCTTATTGAAACTTAAGAAAGTTCAATTACTTGGCAGTTGAGAAGTGCATGTGCAAAAATTTCCTAAATTGCATAAAGGAAATTTTTGCACATGCAGCAGTACATAGCATGTATTTAGGCGCCTGGTGTTAGCAGACGCGCCTAAACAAACTGAATAATCGTAATACGAGATACACCAAATAAAGCAAACAAAATTCTCCATAAACCATATATATATTAGGGTGGGTCAATTAAAAAAGTTGATTCATATCCTTGCGATTCTGGTACTATGGACCATAACAAACATTTTCGCCCAAGGAACCATACCTCTAAAATCATTTTCGAGCCTGCCAAAATTTTTTGGTAGATATTTTCAAAAATACCAAATAAACGACCTCTTAGATGCATTTCAAAGACAAAAAAATATTATTGAAAATGTGTATACGGGGGTTTTTTGGGTCAGAGAATCCATTTTTCGCATTAATTTTTAATTTTGATCGCAAAAAAATAAAAAAAAATAAAAAAATAAAGCAAAATAAAGAAATAAAGTAAATTTCAAATATAGAAAAGTTATCCATAGAAAAAATATCGATTTGCGGAAACACCGGGCAATTCTGCATAGGAATTGGGTAGTGGCATCTATAGAACATTTTTGGTGTAAACCAGTGTAATTATTTAAAAATTTTTGGAATTTAAGTTCCTACAATTTTTTGGGATATGAAAACCATTTTCTTTCACAGAATATAATTGATTAAAAGAATCAATTACATTTTATGCCATTTTTAATTAATTGTACATATATAATTGTAAATATGTAGATTATTTTATATACAAACAGACATAATTTTTTATTAAAAGGTAAAAATACACAATATTTTTACATGGACTCTGTTGGACATGGGTAAAGCTATTTGAATAATTTTAGAATAATCTGTTGTTGTTACTTTTATGTGCTTTATAGGACATAATGTACGAATATACCTACATTATTAACTTACATACGTTGTATGTACATACAGGTTTATAGATGGGAGATATATATGTACATAATAAAAATTACATTTACACAAATATTGTTTTATTTTTTGATCCGTTTATTTTGAAAGTGTTATAAGTCAATTCCACCTCTCGTGCTCAAATGGTTGGTTACTACTAACTGAATGCATCTGTAAATCGTTCTGCCGTCATAAACTAATAGGAAACACTTGTCGCTTTTCATTTCATTTCATTTTGAATGATGAAGTTTAACGAATAACACACGCGTTAAGATGGAGCTAAATGATCAGTGTAGTTAAACGGCATGAAATGACTTATGCCACTTTCGAAATAAACGGCTGGTTTTTATTTCTTTTTTTTTGTCAATATTTCGTTGAACAATCAAGTAACGGGTTTGTTGTTGTTTAAAATTCATATACAACAAAATGAAAAAAAAAATAAAATAAAATGAAAAATAAAAAAATAAAATTTTTTCCTAGAATGAGATCTCCTTTGATGACACCGGCGAAAGTTTAAGGGAATATTATTTGAGAAGCTTGAAGTGCTGTACAACAAGAAAAGCGACAAGGTGGTGAAGGACTTCGCTCCACTTGGCTTTTTGAATTGACACAGAAAAAAATCGGTAAATAGAAATAAAATGAGGTAATATAAAATATAATAATTAATAAAAAATAATAGTATCAAATTAAATGGAATGAATCGAAATAAAATAATTGAAATTAAATATCTAACTTTAATTAAATTAAATTCGCAAACAATCTACATACATACATATGTATTAAATGAAAAAAAAAAAATAAACACAAGATTTTTTTTAATCTATAAGTGGACAATTTTGGAATGACAATTATACTATAATTGGTTATAAAAATTAATATTTACATATCGTTACCTTAATATAGAAAGGTCCTATCAGACATTTGTGCTGCGCTACAAATTAGTTTTCAAACTGTATACAAACTAAAATTATTCAGTTGCGATTTTCTGACGGATTTTTAATAAACATAGAAACTAATTGTTCGACCTAATAGTTTATTTTATATTCGATTTAGCCTTTAGTGAGTAATCTACTGAGTTTTGTGCAGAGCAGAATTTCAAAAGAAAATGAGTTAGGATCTTTCTATATTTATTAAGGTAACGATATATCAATACATACATATGTACATATATACATACATATATGAGCTTTGAGAACACAGTTATAAATGAGCCGCATATTACACATAAATAGTACGATTAGATCGCTAGCTTAGAGTGAAAAGTTGCTAGCCGTACTTTTTATGAAAACTCATATTTTGATATAGGAAGCAAGGGATATTAAAAATGCATCGCTTCGAAAAGGATTAAGGTACTTGTTTTATTTTTTCTCATTTTATATTCAATGAAAGGCAAATTTGCAAATCCGAAAGAGGCACCGAAAATGAGACAAAACCAAAATAATACGAAATCTTTTATTAAAGATCGAATCTTTCTAATTCGTATGGAGTTTTACTTGGTTTTAAAGGAAGGACGAAGTTTTTTTCCTCTCCTGTGAAATTAAAAAAAAAATGGACCTAGCAACTTTGCACTCTAAGCTACCGATATGTATTAATTATTTTCAATTATATATCTACGTAATTATTAATACATAATATACGGTGTTTACACCAATGCAAACCGATAGTTTTAATTGCCAGACAGTTTTCTACTCGTGTGACGAAAACGAAAATACATATCGCAAACATTTCTCACTATTGTAGTAAAAAAAAAATACAATAACAATTAAATTGCAGATATTTCAAGAAAAGTATGAGTGAGTTTTTAAAATTATATGAACTAATATCATTTCTCGGCAAAGATTTTTTCTTAGGATTTGTAAACTTTAAGGCTTCATTTACTTGAGGTGTTGACAAAATTTATTATATAAAAGTATTTGTAGGGGGAGGGGCGGGGAGCTGTTATGTAGATATTGTAATTGTATTTATGTACATATTTTAAGGCTTTGCTGCATTGGTCTGCTTCTAGATTATTCTCTTTTCCATAGTCAGCTGTAGAAGTCAAAACGATATTTCCATATGTACTTACATAAATATGTATGTACTTTAAAGATTTGTTTTCTCATTCTACATTCAAATATAAACATGTATATAAATCTGAATATACTTGTGTGTATGTGTTTGCTGGTAGGCATGTAAATATATAGAATAGGCATATGTATATGTACATTAGGGCGGGCCAATTTTTCCGGCCGAAGAAACCATGGGTTTGCCAAACTGCGAAAATAAGAGTCTTTTACTTACAATTTTGCTGTAGTGTCGTAAATTTTGTATAAAAACGTCGTACAAGGTTTTTCTTTTTTTTGTTATAAGAAATAGTACCAGGTTGAGCGCGCTTTGCCCGGAGTGCATATACTTTTTACAGTTTTCAAGATTTGGATAGCTTTAAAAAAATTTTTTGGAAATAAACAAAAAAAAAATAGGATTTCGATATCTACTAAGTAACTTCCTTATTCTAAAATTTAGGTGGCAAACCTCCTCCAAAATACGCTGGAAAGGTACATATTTTGGGCGTATATGTACTATGTATACATAAAAAAAATTTTATTGAAATTAACAAAATAAAAATTTGTATTACATAGAAGCGTGGCAACCCTGATGAAAAATATTTTCTGACTAAAGTTATCAGCAATACCTTTCATTTGATATCCATATTGCGATGTTTTGATAAATTATGTAGAATCGAAAAAAGTGGCAACCTTACACTATTATCCTAAGAGATAACATTTTGTATATAGGAAAAGCATTGTTTAAGGACCTTCTCTTGATACCCATAAATAGTAATGTTTAAACTTTTTTTCTAAACAAAAAATTAAATAAATATGCGATTCAAAATAGGGGGAAACCCTATTAAAAATATTTCCAAATTAGGGATCTATAAATTACATTCCATATGATACCCATATTATGATGTTTTAATTAATTTTTAACTAATTTCGAATAGGTGGAAACCTTACACTAGTCTTCTCGGAGATAATGCCTATTCAGATAACCTTAGAATCTAAAACATTATCTGTGTACAAAGTTTCATCAGAATCGTTAGAGCAGTTTCCGAGAACCCTATGGATATATGTATATATATATACATATATATAAGAATTGCTCGTTTAATATAATAAGATATTTATAAGAAATATATTTATGGATTTATCTTTAATGAGACTTTTGATGCTGTTTTTTTAACTTTTTTCAAAGATTGGTTTGAGAAAAACTTGAATAACTGGTCCAAAGCTATTCCGATTTAGATATGTTATGAGGTATCAGTGGAAAGGTATTTTCCCACTCTTCATTTCGGTGCAAAAAAGACTAATTTAAGCACTTCTTTATGACACTATTTACAGCAAAATGCTAAGTAAAAGAAACCTATGTTGGCAATTTGGCAAACTCCAAATTAATTTTAGACCCATAGTTGCTTTGGCGAATTTGCTCAGAATTACACGTAGAATTCTCCTATGCTATACGCCTATAGTCGAAAATATCCCATCTCCCATACAAATTGACCCGCCCTAATATACATGTATACATACATATATCCTTTATATTCGTATTTTGCTAAAAATCAAATCCATTTGTTGGTGTCTGTCTGTAAGTAGATAGTTTTTTTTTGTTTGTTTTTGATCAATTTTGAATACATATTTACATCTGTATATGTACATACATATGTATAAGTCTAAACTAGCTACGATGTTTTAGGATGTATGAATTATCATATAGCACAGATATGTAAATATCGCTCATTTACTAAAAAAAAAACAAGACTTTAG